GTATAATCATTTTCTTCTAGCTTTATGGCTCTCTGAAAGTTCTGGAGATGAAGGGGAACTGATCTGCATACAGTTCTGTGCTGGTCTGGACGGCGTAACATAAATGCTGAAATCCATAAAATGACGTCGATGATGATGACCATGCACTGCACTGTTGATCCTTTACTTTGCTTCTGGCTAAGCGTATGCCACGTGGAGGCGGAGGTTAAATTTGTGGAATTCAATAAAGTTTAAAGCCAAAAGCATATTTATAAACAAGCATAAACAAGCTTTTCAGCACAGTTTGGACAAAAATTTACCACTCTAGAGAATATGATTAATTAGACTGCGCGCCATGAATGAAACGACCGAATTTTCTGGAAAGTTCTCTTTTGATGGATATGAATCGGTACTTTGATGCTGTGCCAATTTGAAGCTAGAGACATCTGGATAGCGCGGCATTGATTCGGTTACTGGCATCATCTAGGGTATCTCAACCCATTTACAGCGTATCCTTGATCGAAAAATTGATTATGTGTTTTGTCCAACTTTCAAAACGCTTCCCTATGTCGCGAGACTCAGTTAGCATGGTTCAGCTTTTGTCATGCCTAGAAAGACGACTGGAGCAAGATGCTTGTGTGGACAAGTCTTTGCAATACTCCTGTTGATGCATCAGCGCTCTCACGGGACGCACATAACAGGGTGCTTTCCTGCTCGTTTGTCAATCAATCAATCCCTTGTTATGTGATCTGACCATTTCAAGTTTGAAGAGACCACGACGCCCTGGTATTTAATTGACTTCGCTCACTAAGGACAAAAAATCTCAGTACTGGCACAGATGTTCATGACCTGAATATGGTGAAACGTCACGATCCAAGAATTCCTCAACAAGAATCAGCATTCAACTGACTTAGAACTGTGAAGATGAGGCCAAGATCAGACGCAAGATGTGCGACGGTTTGAACTGAGTTTGCATAGGCTCCCATGTCCTCCACCGTTCTGGGTGACTCAGCAATAACTAAAGCGTCAGCACATTTTACACTCATAATCGGATAGTCGATGCAACGCGAGTTATGGCAAAAGTTGAACAACAATGGGCGAGAAATGAGCTCTAAATTATTCCAAGACGGTTGCTTTGAAATTCTGTCACTCACTGAGATATATTATGGACGTGATGAGAAGTCGCCTTTGAACCATTCAAATATAATCACATTTAAAGAAAAAAATGCAATTCTCTGCATTGTCTTCTCCACAGTGGTAATATTGAGTGAAAATAAGAAGATGTTGAGAAATGATGTACGTATTGTCCATCTGCCTTTATCCATGTTGCCTATTAGAGTACACGCAAGAATTTCAAAAACGTCGATGCAGCTATTTTTGGATCCTTAATCGAGCTTATTGCCACTCAATCCAGTTATGGTTTCGTCCTTTATCGATCTAAGCACCAGCTGCTTCAGAAACTGCAATGGAAGAGATTGGAAGATTACTAGCTGATAACGATCAGATGGCGTAGCATCATCCACTATCAATGCACATTACAAGTAAAATGATAACATGGCTGATAGCTTTTAATTGGGTAAGAAATATATGGACTTACTAAGATAGAACGGATTCATTTGCAGTTCGAAAACAAGTCTCGGATCACAGGGAGAAAATGGGCACTGAAAGCTACTTACGACGATCCTCTTGAGTCAAGAGAAGAAAGTAAGACGATCTCGGCGAAACGATCAGAATTGAGAGTTGAACAGTTCACATCTTATCGTTCTTTTCTCAGGGGACTTCATTTATAATATAGGCAAAAAGCAATATCTATCGACAAGTCGTTACCTGTTTTACCGCCGAAATCTCAGAGCCAACAGAAAAATTAATGCTGGTTCTTCTAATCTCACACCTCTTACAACCTGAGGTTATCGCGTTAGAAGAATAAGATTATCTCATGAGAGCAGTTAAACTTATTAAGATAGACAAATGATTCATCACTTGATGTGCGCCAAGCTAAAATATATAACAGTTTGAAAAATTGAACAATTTCATTATGTGGAAACGGTCAGTATACCGGCGGATGATTCTTCAAATAATATAATTAATTCCGTTGATACACACAGCAATTTTGTATTTCAGTCGCTCTCAGAGAAATATAGCATGAGTGGTACGAATACGAACATCACCTCATTTTAAACTCACTAGCGAGGGTTACGGATCTGCGGTAATCCTTTTGAAACCCTGACCATTCCTGTCGGAGTCTCATCCTATGGTTCATTTACTTTAATCGCTTCATCAATAAGCGCTGATATTTCTTTCCATGCTAAGAATGACCTCAGCCTGTACTCCCAAGATCTTTGGTATTTTTACCCTAAATTCTTAAAATTTCAGAAGCTTATCTCCTCCCTTAACAACAACATTGCCGTCAGGAGGATGGACTATATCAGCGATTTGCGCCTGCCTTTTCGCTTTATCTATATTTGGACGAGTAGATGATATTTCATATCATTTCGCATTGGAAAGTCCAAGCGAATTTTCACCTGCTCTGTTTTTTTCCACCCATTTTGGCCGATCTTCCACCATTCATATGCCAATGGCAAGTTTGATTAGTTTCACAAATGCCAATAGATTATCCTTTCAACGTTTCTGTGCCTTTCTTGTATTCTCGATTCCTGAGCGTTTCTCAACCAAACATCATGTGGGTCCCGGTCGCATCCTTCACTCATTACATTTCATATTTCGTTTTAGCTTGGCTCGCTGTCCATGAGTTCGTGTTCGATGGTTTTTGCGCAGCTAATAGAAGGGCTTCCTTCTTGCCATGGATTTTTCATCTGATAGTCAGTTGAAAGTCCTGGATGCCTATGTCCTCCTCATCTAGTTGAGGATGATACTATCCATGAAGCTCTTCACTTCTTCAGTCACAGAATCAGGCGTTCTTAACATGTTCTTGATGAAGTTCAGCATTTACAGATGTTTCCATGCATTAGTTTTCAGAAGGCCCTAACCTCTAAAGTCGTCAACACTCTTGTTGAGTGCCGTTGCCAGATGTTGGCTTAAGAAAGACGTCTCAAATCTCAGCGAATAGTTATTACAGCGAAGCCCTCTCCTTTCCCATGTACGCCGCATACACAGTCTATCTCTATCTGTCTTCGATTTATAATCAGACATGTGATCGAGATTTTTCTTGATTTTTTATCCAGTTCTAGCATCTCTGCTTGCACCCATTCGACGCTGCTTCCAGTGAAAGCAAGCCCGGGAACCATAAACTGATTCACAATCAAAATTTTGTTTTTCTCGTCTACCTTGCTCCTCAGGACTCGGTTTTCTTTTCATATTCAGTGTATATGGTTAACTTCATTTTTTAATGCCGAGGCAATGTAAGGTTGTTCTTCTTCCAAACTGGTCATTTTATCAATCGGCAATGTGGCTGTATCGTTCTTCCAGATATTTGGCTTCTTAATCTCAATCTTAGCACAATTATCCCATCAGAATCCATCCGTGTATATTCCCAATAGATTCGTGGGTTTTGAATCGGATTAGCCAGCATTTTTGCCGATCTCTCATACAACCTCAGGTCGCCCATCAGCTTACATCTTTTCCCGGTGGTATCCAGCAACTATCTGAAGGATTCAATGCCGGACAAAGTAGTGCTCACTCATCAGGGTTGGTTTAGGCACATATGAAGGTTTAATGGCAGGACCACGAAAAGAATAGCTGCATTCTCTTTAGGGCTGAGGCAGCCTCTGTGGATGTGAGATTAAGAAAATGAGGTTGAAAACGTTAGACAAACTTGATGAACAGAGT